GAAATATGTGCAACTTCCCATTTAAATTAGTACCACATGAACCATGAAGAGCACCACAGGTATCTGTTGTAGTACCAGCCTAATGTAAAAGTAGCCTGTCTTGTAATGCTCTAACAGGAAAGACATACAACCATTCATCTGTAACATATTAAAACCAGAAGAAATAAATTACTCCATAGATGAAGAATTATTGCTTGCGAAGAAAATGTGCAAAGGTAGTCCTAAAAAGCAGCTTTTACTAAAAAATTATCGCAACAGCATTTGAATTCTTAATGTGTATTAAACTGAGAACTTCTAACCATAAATCATCATTTTTAAATGGGAGAAAATCTGGTTAAAACTTTTAGCAGAGATTTGATTCACTTTTTCACCAGTTTTAGTCTTGGCATCCAGAGGAAACTGAGTTATGCCAAGGGCAGCGAGTCAGAAAAATTATAACAAAGCCACTAAAAGGATAGGCATACATTCAGTGTTGGTGTTTTTGTTTTTCACATTTGTTATTTATTTGAGAGGCAGAGAGAGACAGGCAGACAGACAGATAGGCAGACAGAGAGAGCTCCCATTTGCTTTTTTCAGTCCCCAAATGCCCACCACAGCCAAGGCTGGGCTCAGGCCAAAACTGGGAGCTGGGAATGCCCTCCCATGTGGGAGGTAAGGACCCAATCACTTGACCTCATCACTCCTGCCTCCCAGGCTTTTTGGTATCCAGAGCAGGGACTTGAACCTTGGTACTTATATATGGAATGTGAGCATCTTAACCTCCAGGCTACATTCCAGTATCACTCTGCTGAATGAATGGACAGTCCTCTTTGCTGAACGCATGTGAGTTAAGTGCAAAGGCAGAGCACGAACCATAACCACAATCCTAGTGTATATAATAGGCATCTCGAAGATACACCGATTGTTATAATTCACAAGATAATGTAATTTCCCAGTTACATTATCTGCTTATATCAAAAGAACAGAAGTCACTTAATCAGTCCTGGAAATAGAGTAGGAAAGTACTTTGTTAAATGTTTCATATCTATTATCTCATGTAATTCTCAGGACAGCCCTACAATGTAGATGATTTTAGTATCTCCATTTCCAGATAAGGAAATTAGGCACAAAGAATGGAGGCAGTAAGTCCAAAATCAGTTAAGTCAATCCTAGAGCAAGAATGTGCTGGAGTTCTTTGTGTATTAAAGTGCTTTCACAAAAGTATTCTTATTTAATTCTCTTAACAAGCCCAGGAAGTAGATTAGGCAGTGACCATAATTCTATTATACAAAGAAGGAAACCTAATTTCAGCCAATGAAGTGACTTGTCCAAGTTCAGAACATGAAAGTGACAACTAAAAGCTAAGAACCGAGACTCCTATCCTGGTTGGAGACCAAGCAAATACACCTAATCCTGTGATATTAATCATTCCTTTCTCCTCCTCAAAGCAAATCTGAGGATGTATGAGGTTAGGGACTTGTGTTGGGTGTGGTTAAGAATTTACCTTGGACATCTATTTGTCTACTTTCCATGTTGGAGTGCCTGGCACTGTTACTAATCTCAGCTTCCTGCTAGTGAACACTGTGGGAGGCATCAGTGATGACTCAAGTGGTTGGATTCTTGCTACTCACGTGAGAAACCCAGATAGAGTCCCCAGCTCTTGGCATCATCTTGGCCTGGCCCTGGTTGTTGTGGCGTTTGTAGACTGACTCTGTGGATGGGGAATCTCTATCTGTTGTTCTTTCAACCTTCCAAATAAATAATAATAAATAAGTAAAAAGTATCTGATTGGGGACGATGCTGTGGCATAGCAGATAAGGCAGCTGCCTGCAGTGCTGGCATCCTTTATGGGCTCTGGTTCAAGTCCTGGCTGCTCCACTTCTGATCCAGCTCTCTGCTATGGCCTAGGTAAAGCAGTAGAAGATGGCCCAAGTCCTTGGGGTCCTGCACTCCCAAGGGAATATCTTGAAGAAGCTCCTGGCTCCTGGCTTCGGATTGGCTCAGCTCTAGACGTTGCAGTCATATTGGGAGTGAACCAGTGGATGGAAGATCTCTTTCTTTCTTTCTTTCTCTCTCTCTCTCTCTGCCTCTGCCTCTCTAACTCTGCCTTTCAAATAAATGAATCAATCTTTTAAAATGTGTATGATTATATGACTCAATAAATCTATACTTGTTTTCTACAAAAATATTTTCTTAGAGCTACAATCTGTTGTTCCAGCAAAAAAAAAAGAAAAAGAAAGAGAGAAAGAGAGAAAGAAAGAAAGAAAGAAAGAAAGAAAGAAAGAAAGAAAGAAAGAAAGAGAAAAAGAAAGAAATAAAAAGAAAAAAAAAGTTAGGTTGGGAAGCAAATATGCACATAGACAAAATAAAAATCCCTTTTCCAGTCACATGTACAGGGTTTTTTAGGAGCACCAACTATCTTAGGACATCCCTATATTTTCATACTTAGGATAACCATTCATATTCCATAATATGGCAATTTTATGAAACATGACACCCTAGTATATACAAGGTGACTGAGTCATGAGTTTACAGATTCACTGAGTGGCCTTTTAAGTGGCTATGAATTCAAGATGAAAAACTTTCCTAAAAAGATTGTCAACATAAAAGCTGCATAGTATACTCATGATATATCATTGTTAAATGTGTTTTCTTCATGGTAGAGTCCATTGTCCATGTTAAAACTCTGCTGCTAATATTAAACTCATTGCCTATTAGTGTGATTGCTTTCTTCCCAAATATCCCCATAGCTAGCATTCATGGCTCTGTGGACACTCACATCTGAAGGAAACGCAATTATAAGCAGCAATTTATCAAAACTGCCACTTTTAAGTTCAATGTCACTTACTAAATAAAATTCCATCATGAGATTTCCAAAGAACAGTTCAAAAACTGTAGCATTTATCTAAAAGGCATCTAAATAATCAAAATAATAAAAAGGCGCATCTGTATCAGATATCATTTTCCAGGAGTTGCAAAATTATGAGTTGTATATATTGTAGTGAAAGCCCTAAAGGCAATTCTACTTTTTATCTAATACTTTGTATTCAGTCCCCTCCAATGCAAATTGTATATAATGCAAACTATAAAACTACATGATACAGCAAAATATAATACAATCAAATAGTGTAGCAGATAAAATTTTGCAATCACGCCATTCTTCAATCTAATGGGAAGTCCCATGATCCAGCTATAAATCGAAGGTATTTTACAAAGAGCTATTGCTCCTCATTCATGATTTATTTTTAAACCACAAAGGCAAATAGAAGTCCATTATTTGAAAAAAAAATCAGAAACTGGATAGTGGATCCTCTATACTATGTGGAAAACTATGACACACGCAAATGGAGGGGCTGAGGAGACTTATAGTGAAGACATTCTTCCCAAGGTGTGAACAAAGAAGACAATAGGAAAGTGGGAGTTATTTCAGATCTAACAATGGTAGTATGACACTTGTCTTTGTCCCCTGTGGCTGACTTAGAGCTTCTAAGACTGTTGTAATTTCCTGAGAGATAAGGATGAGAGAGGCATCTTTTTTTTTTTTATCCATGAGAAGACCCTCTCAGTAATATCTGAGTTTGTGTCAATGAGGAGACTCTTGGTGGACCTTTGGCTTGCTTCAGGATGGGGACTGGGCCATGGGGGCCAGCCATGAGAGGAAACGCATAGAACTTCCAGCCTCACCACTAAGCTCCAGGGAGGAAGAAAAACAAAACAGACTTGTGACTGATCACACCAATGAGACCTCTATAAAAACCCTGAAATGATGGGTTTGGAGGGTTTCTGTTTGGTGAACCCATGAAGCTGAAGAGAGAGTGCTGTGCTTAGAGAGAGCATTAAAGCTCAGTATTGCTCCTTACATACCTTGTCCTATGTACCCCTTCTATTTTGTTGACTAAGTTGTATCCTTTCCCTTCCATCAGCTGGTAATAATAAGTTAAGTGCCTTACTGAATTCTTTGCACACTTCTAACAAATTATCGAGCCTGTGTGAAAACCCTGACTGTATGGCCAGTTAGTCAGAAGCACAAAAGGTCTGGAACTTAACAACTGGTATAAGGAGTGGGGGCAGTGTTGTGGGACTGAGCCCTGAAACTGCATGATCTTCACTGACTCCAGGAAATCAGTGTCAGGGCAGAACTGAACTGTAGGACACCCAGTTGATGTCTGGGGATTTGGAGATTGGTTGGCGTGAGAAGAAAGTCCCACACATTTGGTGTCAGAATATGTTGTGGGTAAAAACAGCTCAGAGATCGAATGGGTTACTGTACATATTAAATTTCATTGCAATGACAATTGATATTCGATACAAACAGCAGCCCTTTCTTTAAACAAGTTATTTAATTAACTGGGACAGCATGGGATTTTCCACTTATGCCAACTAATTGCTTCTCTTCTATATGTTTCCTCTTCACTCTGTTTACATTAATGGAAGAACAATTGCCAACTGGATAGGCTGTTTTAAAAGTTCTCATTTCCTACAATTCTAGATTGTGTGTTTTCTGCACAAAGAATCATTTCATTTCCTTGGCTAGAGATGAACCACAGATAGAGTGAATATTACATGACTTTGAATATCAATGTGTATGTGTATATGTGTGTGTATGTGTGTGTGTCTGTATATATACACAAGCATGCATGCTTAAAAGCACAAAACATAATGATGGTTCATGCTCAAGATCTGACTATATATCTGAGTCTAGGAAGAAGACATTATTAAAAATATATAGCAAATTGTAACACTATAATTAATACATTAATAATTAAAATTAAAACTCGAATTATGTCTTTAAATCTAAAGATACAATGTGACACTCCTACTTTGATAGTTTCAGCCCCTTCCCTTCCTTTTTCCTGGGCTCTAGACATACCCACAGCATCCCATTTTCTTCTCAGCAACAATTATCACCAGTCAGTTACTACAAAATAATTGTCAAATGGTTTCTTAACCCTATGCTGGTTATTCATGTATTTCAGTTCCCTCTTGTTCCCCTCTCAATTACATTGCCCACACCTCATTACCTTCCTTGATCTTCTCCCGGTGAGATCCACTGAGAGCCACAGGACTCCTTGGTTTCATTCTCTAAGTGTCTCTCTGCTCCTATCTTTCTCTGATTAAATTTCTACGCAACTCTGAGGATTTACACTCCAGCTAGTTTCTCTCTGCCTTTGGTTTCCCATGACCCCCTTTACCCAATACCTGCTGTTAATATTTTTTCCCAAATTCCCTTCTATAGGGTCCATTGTTCAGATGTGATTCTATCTGCCGTGTCATAATAAAGCTTCCTATGAGGCAGTATTTTAAATTCTTATTCACTGGTGTCCGCTCTTACTTTCTCCAGGCCTTCCTCCTCATCTCTGGTTCTGTTAATTTTGTTATTCTCATTGGTGACTACACTCCTAACCAAAGGATGATACATGAGTTTTGGGAGCATTCTGTTGTTTCTATGAAGATCATATTTTTCATTTGGTCTAATTTTGGTCATTTCTGCCTGAATTTTGCTGGTTGCTTACTTGCACCTTTTTCTGCCTTGTCAATATTTTCAAAAACCTGTTTGTAGATCTCTAAGCACTTTCTCCCCTCTACTCTACACATATTTTGTTGACATGCAGAACAGAAGTGGTAGGCTCTGAAGTGATATTTTCATTTTGTTTAAATTGATTAAATCACGTTTGTTTGGGGAATTTTTAAAGAGCATGATACATAATTTATTTGGACTTTTTGTGGGTGATAGAGTGACAGCTTCTATTGTTGGTGTTGAATCTATGTGAGAAAGGTTTACTAGAATTTTTTCTGAAAAACTACTTAAGAAAAGACAATTGAAGTAAGGAGGAATGTCTCAAATTTGGGAAAAATTTTATAAACCTGATGATAGCCTAATATTTAGCCTTTAGTTTTAATATATACATAGATATACTTGTGCATATGTATATAAGATAGTGTAGTAAAAACAATTATATACACACATATTATATATTTTGTAACTTTCTGGGACTTTTGTTATGATTTTCTCTGATACAGACAGCATCAACAGTGCCGAGAGACAGATTCTACTCATCCTCAACAAATTCTCCATTTTTCTGCCAATATTTGATGTCCCATCTTGTGTCTTATTTATTTTGTTTGTGGTAAATTATTCTGGCAAGATGCCCCGGAAACAGACTTCATTGATATGAACATGTGTCTGATCTGGCCTGCATGGAAGAAAGACATATAATTCCTACTATCAATCATTTCAGGGATGATTCCATAAAAGGGCTGATTAAGATACTGACATGGTCTTAACTCCAAAACCAGAGCATATTCAATAGTCTTTGCAATTTTATCTCAAATTGTTTAAAAATTAGCAATGACTAAAAAAAAACACTGTTCTCATTCTCATACTCATGAAGTGATTCATATAAAGAATCCAAATAATGCTCAGTTGAAATGAGATTCCATGTAAGCTCATTTGGTCCTCAGAGACTATAATTCTCAAATAGGAAATTCCATTGTCAGTAACGGGTGGAATTATCTTAGGAGTGTACCTAATATGGTGGTATGCACTTGATAAGGATTCTACAGAATTTCATTAAGGAGTATCATTTAGAATGGTCTTTTAAAACAACAGGTGAGGAAAATATTGCCAGAATCAAGGCTTTTATGTACTTTCGCAACATGTTTTCAAGTAGCAGAAGAAGCATATCTTGGTTGCTTTTATAAAACACCCAAAGTGGTGAGACTTCTGTTACCTGTCTTTAAAACTACCATGTGGTAATAAGCAACATCATCCATGCCACACTGACATAAATCAAAAACATGTTCAGAAATACTGGATCAACTCAGATGTGACACAGTGTGAGTCTCTTCTCTGTTTGAAATTGGTATCCCCCAGAGCAGGTGGTGGTGTTCAAAGGTCAATATATCACGTGGGGAATCAGCATCTCATGTTGGAGTGCCTAGGTTCAAAGCCCCTTCTCTGCTTCTGATCTAGTTTTATGCTAATGCACTCTGGGAAGTATCAGGAAGAGCCCAGACCTGGCGGTTGCAGCTATTTGGGCAATGAACCAAAGGATGGATGATTTCTCTCTCTTTCTTACTCTCTCTCTATCTTTTTCACTCTTCCTTTCAAAGGCATACAAGCATACAAACATTAAACTTAAAAAATCATAGTTCAGGGTATAAAAATCTTTTTGTTTTTGCTTATCAAAATGTTAAAATAAACGGGTTGAAAATTTAGGGGCTAAATTGCAGGTTTAAATTCATAAACCAGTGCTGGTGTGTGGCATAGTGGGTTAAGCAACCAATTGTGATGCCATTATCCCATAGGGGTACCAGTCCCAGCTGCTGCACTTCCAATTCAGCTCCCTGCTAATGGCCTGAGGAAGTAGTAGAAGATGGCCCATGTACTTGGTCCCTGCACCTATATGGGAGACCTGGAAGAAACTCCTGTCTCCTGGATTTAGCCTGGCCCCGCCCTGGCCATTGCAGCCATTTGACAAGTGAACCGGCAGATAGAAGATATCTCTCTCTCTCTGTAATTTTGCCCTTCAAATACATAAATAAATCTTTAAAAAGCTGCAAATTCTGAATTCAATTTCTAATTCTGGTAATAATTGGCTGAAAAAAAATCCAAACTAAAGGAAAATGGTGAACTACATTGAGAACCGGTGGTTAGACTGCATTTATAACCCTTTTCCAAAAGAGCTGTCTAACCCAAAAGCTGTATTAATTTTTCTATATCTTAATGTACATTAGCTAGACCATCATGACATGTTTCCATAATAACATGAATGGGCATGAATTAAAGTACACTGATATTTGGATTTGGCATATTTTACAATTGAGTTGTTATGACATTCAAATTATAATTTGAAAAAAAGAAACCAAAAGATGTTAATATTCTAGGATGTTTCAAGCAGATTGGATGGTGGTATGGAAGATTTGCTTCCAAAATAGTTAAATGTAAAGAAGAATGTCAGTCGTTAAATCAACAACAGGAGTCACTGTGCACTTGCTCCCCATGTAGGACCTCTGTCCTTAATGAGTCATACTATGAGAATTAACGGTAAAACCAGTTTTCAAACAGTACTTTATACTTTGTCTGTTTGGGTGCCAACAGTTGAAATCCTATAGTGTTACATTTCATTTCTAAGATTTTGAAAGATTTACACAGAGAAAGGAGAGGCAGAGAGAGAGAGAAAGAGGGATCTTCCATCCACTGGTTCACTCTCCAGTTGGCCACTATGGCAGGAGCTGCGCCAATCTGAAGCCAGAAACCAGGAGCTTCTTCTGGGTCTCCCACATGGGTGCAGGGGCCCAAAGACTTGGGCCATCCTCCACGCCCTCCCAAGCCACAGCAGAGAGCTGGATTGGAAGTGGAGCAGCTGGGACTCGAACTGGTGCCCATATTCCTCACCCGCTAAGCCTCAGAGCCGGCCTCGCAAACTGTTGAAATCTTTACTTAGTATAGAGTTCATCTTCTGTAAATAAAGATAATTAAAAATGAATCTTAATAAAGAATGGGATGGGAGAGAGAGTAGGAGGTGAGATGGTTTGGGGATGAGAAGGAGAATATGGGGCGGGGGGGAGAACTGCTATCGTACAAAAGGTGTACATATGAAATTTATATTTATTGAATAAAAGCTTTCTAAAAAAAGAATTTATTTAGGGTCATCACGGAGTAAAACCCATACACATATTCAATTTTCTTGGGAGTCTCCAAATGTCAAACATGGATCAAGCCACACAGATCTTTTTCTTTCTGAATTATCTCAAGAATTTAATTAGCTGCAAGTCATACAAATACAGTGAAAACTAAATATTTCTGCTCTGTATCATGCTAATTCAAGAAGCTATTGGAAGTAAATATATTACACAAGACTTTAAGAAGCAATTTGGAGATCAACATTGAAACAAAGTTAAGATTCACTAATCAGGGGCGCTTTTGCTTGTCTATGAGTTGTGGTTTTTTTTGTTTGTTTGTTTGTTTGTTTTGACAGACAGGGTTAGACAGTGAGAGAGAGAGACAGAGAGAAAGGTCTTCCTTTTCCTGTTGGTTCACCCCACAAGTGGCTGCTTCGGCCAGCACGTTGAGGCTGGCGCATTGTGTCGATCCAAAGCCAGGAGCCAGGTGCTTCCTCCTGGTCTCCCACGTGGGTGCAGAGCCCAAGAACCTGGACCATCCTCCACTGCACTCTGGGGCCACAGCAGAAAGCTGGACAGGAAGAGGAGCAACCAGGACAGAACAGGCACCGCAAATGGGACTAGAACCCAGGATGCTGGCGCCGCAGTCGGAAGATTAGCCTAGTGAGCCGCGGCGCCGGCCTTGTTTATGAATTTTTTAACATTGTTTCAATCACATATTCTGCACCACTAATGACAGACAAGACCAGAGAAAAGCCAGGAAAGACATTCTCTTCATCTCTAAATATTATCTGATATTACTAAGCAACTCTCTGTGGAAGGCACTATTTATATGGCCACCCTGAAAATGCAATTTTGTTTATATTGCAAAAAGTATTTAGAGACATAACATCTGAGATCATGAGGATCATATTGTACTATCTAAATCTTTCAGGTAAACTTCATTATACCATCAAACAAGCAACTGGTATTTAATAAAAATAGCATTCGTGAAAATGATTCCTCAAAAATTTCAAAAGTAACCATTTTAAAATTCAGTGATTATTTTTAGAATAAGGATCTTTTTACTTTTGCTTTCCATATTTGAATTAGTGAAACACATGCATTCATTTGAACCGTGGGTGAGGTGCTTAGCATGGGGGATAGATAGGGTACTGAATAAGATAGCTAGAATTCAGCTCTCCTGGAACATGTAATCTAAAAACAATTGTAATCAAGAAACAATTGATTACATAATTGAAAATGTCCTATGAAACTGTGGAGGCACAGGAGACCTTGAATAGCTAAAGCAATCTTGTACAACAAAAACAAAGCCGGAGGCATCACAATACCAGATCTCAAGACATACTACAGGGCAGTTATAATCAAAACAGCATTGTACTGGTACAAAAACAGATGGATAGACCAATGAAACAGAATAGAAACACCAGAAATCAATCCAAAAAAACATCTACAGCCAACTTATATTTGATCAAGGATCTAAAACCTCCTTGCTCCAGGAGGAGCAATGACAGTCTATTCAACAAATGGTGCTGGAAAACTGGATTTCCACATGCAGAAGTGTGAAGCAAGACCCCTACCTTACACTTCACACAAAAATCTACTCA